AGCCATTGAATATTAACAAAATTTTCAACTCCTCCTGTAATGATATAAATTTTTTAAAAGATGCAATTTTTAAAAAGATATCATTTCTAGATTATTAAGCTGGCAAAGATTTTTAAAACTATAATAACCAATGCTAGATTGACAATAGGGATATAAATCAGTGAAACCTTTCTGGAAAAAAATAGCAAAATATATCAAAAATTATAAAATGTGTAAACCCTTTGGCCCACTAATCCCACTTCTAGCAATGTAACCTAAGGTGCATAAAGACAAATATAAAAGATGTTGTAACAACCTCATCAATAGCAGAGGGTAAAAAAAAAAAAAGTAACTTAAATGTCCAAAATGCAAAGTCAGACTGGCTGGTTAGCTCAGTTGGTTAGAGTGAGCCTTATAACTCCGAGGTCATGGGTTTGGATCCCCATACCGGCCAGCTGCCAAAATAAAAATGCAAGGTTAATTAAATAAATTAACGGTATAGTCATACAAAGAAATACTATGCAGCCATCGAAAATTATGATGTGATTTCATATTTATTGGCATAGATGTATGTTTACAATATACTGCTAAGTAAAAATAAACAGATTACCTAGCAGTATGTTAAGTATGACACCTTGCAAAAAGCACACATTTCTGTACATATATTTGGTTGGGAAAATTCTAGAAGTATTTAAACCAAAATGTTAATAGTAATTTTTTCTGGGTTATGGGAGTTGGGATAACTTAATTTCTTTTTGTTTATTGTATATTTTCTATTTTTTCAATAATTATTATATATTTCTTATATAATTAAAACTATAAAATATAAGAAAAAAGAAATTAAGCTGGAAATGTAGTAAAGAAATCTGAGTTTTAATAAATCCAGTTCTCGCTACATATCAATTAAACAATTTTTTTCTTTCAATAATATGCTTTAGATGTCACATATGAGTATGCATAGGTTTATATCTGTAACAGCAAAAACAACAATTAACATTTGTTGACAGCTTATTCAGGGCCCTGTGCTGAGTACATTTCCAACATTACCTCATTTAACCCTCTAGCCCCAGAAGATAAGAACTACTATCGTCATTTTTTAGCCCAGTAAACTGAGGCAGAGAGATTAAGGTTACAGAGCTAATCAGTGAGATCTGGGTTTTTTATGTAGTCTGTGTGATTCCAGAGCCTCTTTTAAACACTACACTATACTTGTTCTGAAATTTAGGGAACCACTTTTCGTTAAGGGCTGAATGTTAGGAATAAGTGATCTTAATTGCCCTTGGTAAAGGAAATTGTCTGGTTAAAGAAATGAAAGCGGGCCGAGCCCGTGGCGCACTCGAGAGAGTGCAGCGCTTGGGAGCGCAGCGACGCTCCCGCCGAGGGTTCAGATCCTATATAGGAATGGCCGGTGCGCTCACTGGCTGAGCACGATGTGGGCGACACCACACCAAGGGTTGCAATCCCTTTACCGGTCACGAAAAAAAAAGACCAAAAAAAAAAGAAATGAAAGCAGATTTATTTTCCATAGTAAACCCATATTACATTTTGGATTTGGTACTAAATGTGTTGGTATATTTATTGCCTAGTTGAAACAAAACTTAAACATTAAAATACTTTTTAAAAGGTTTACATAATGTTTTTGTTTTCTACAATTCAAGGTGAATTTTGGCAACGGTGTATATTCAAACAAAATTAGAATTGCAGCTGGCCATGCCTTGAAGATACCTTAGGATACCACAGTACAAAGAATAAATCCCTACCCTGGCTAGACTGGATGTTAAAAGGTGGTGATAAACATGGTTAAGTCCTTAGAATTTTTCCAATTTATCCATAATTATCATAAAAATTAGGATAAACTAAAAATAATGAACATAATTATCTTATGGGGCATTCAATTCTAACAGTCTATGAATTTTAATTTCTCTGGGTTAAAGATTTAACTTTCTATAGAAAACATTACTTTAGGATTCCTTCTGGAATTTCATTAAAGTAAAAATTTTAAACTATTAAAATTTACGCAAATTTCTCAGATATAAATTATTAATCTCTTAACATACGTGAACTATATCTGCCAACAATCCATTAAGCTTTGGGTATTTTTTTCTTGCACTTTTGGGGTGTTGAACTTGGGGAAGCACCACCCCAGCAAAAACTGGACTCTTGGAAAAGATATTCTGCAAGTGAGGCGTCAGATTGCCTAAAAAGAGAAAAAATACACATATAAGAAAACAGAGAAATTAGTCTACCA